TTTAAATTTCAAATTTTTTCCTGATTTTGAAATATTTGTACTATACCAACTAGCTGAATATCCCAAATCTGAAAGCCCAAAATCTAAAAGACTCCAACAAGCATTTCCTGAGAGGTTCATGTTGGTACTTAAAAAGTTTTGCATTTTGGATTTCGGATTTTTGGACTAGGGGTGCTTAACCTGTAACAGCAACAATGTATGTGATTAGGTATGCTTTTACATACATTATACATACACATACACACGTGCTTATATATAAGTGAAATGAATGACAGCAAAATTACAAGGTACTGAAGAGAGGAGTTAGGTATATTTTGCTGTCATAAGGCAAAGTGGTATAGTGGTATTAGAAGGTTGATTTGGATTACAGTGGACCTTTGAACAACACAGGTTTGAACCGTATGGGTTCACTTATACATAAATTTTTTCAGTAAAAGTTACAGAATGTGCCTGCCCCTCCTGCATCCGTTTCCACCTCCTCCACCTCTTCTGCCTCTGCCACTCCTGAGATAACAAGACTAATCCTTAATTGTCCTCAGCCTACTCAATGTGAAGATGATGAGGACGAAGACCTTTATGATGATCCACTTCCAATTAATGAATAGTAAGTATATTTTCTCTTCCAGTGATTTTCTTAATAACATTTTCTTTTCTCTAGCTTATTTTGTTATAAGAGTATCGTATATAATACACAAAACATACAAATTACATGTTAATCAACTATGTTATCAGTAAGGCTTCTGTCAACAGAAGGCTATTAGCAGTTAAGTTTCGGGGCAGTCAAAAGTTATATGCAAGGCCAGGTGCAGTGACTCATGCCTGTAATCCCAGCACTTTGGGAGGCTGAGGCGGGCAGATCACTTGAGGTCAGGAGTTCAAGACCAGCCTGGCCAACATGAAACGTCATCTCTACTAAAAATACAGAATCAGCTGGGCATGGTGGCACACGCCTGTAGCCCCAGCTACTTGGGAGGATGACGCAGGAGAATCGCTTGAACCCGGGAGGTGGAGGTTGCAGTGACCTGAGATTGCACCACTGCACTCCAGCCTGGGTGATAGAGCTAGACTCTCTCTCTCAAAAAAAAAAGCAAAGCCTGCCTAGGCCTCCCCAAAGTGCTGGGATTACAAGTGTAAGCCATCGTGCTCCACCAGGAATTGAAAATTAAATGAGATACCACTACACATAGATTAGAATGGCCAAAATCTGGGAGCCTGAGAGCTCAAGGCTGTATTGAGCTGTGATTGTGCCACCATACTCCAGCCTGAATGACAGCGTGAGATCCTGCCTTTAAAAAAAAAAAAAAAAAAAGACCCAAATCCACACACTGACACCACCAAATGCTGGCAAGGATATGACACAACAGGAGCTACTCATTTACTGCTGGTGGGAATGTAAAACGGTACCATCCCTTTGGAAGGCAGTTTCGGAGTTTTTCTTTTTATGAGACAGAGTCTCATTCTTTTGCCCAGGCTGGAGTGCAGTGGCACAATCTTGGCTCACTGCAACCTCCGCCTCCCAGGTTCAAGTGATTCTCCTGCCTCAGCCTCGCAAGTACCTGGGATTACAGATGCACACCACCATGTCAGGCTAATTTTGTATTTTTAGTAGAGATAACGTTTTACCATGATGGCCGGGCTTATCTCGAACTCCTGACTTTAAGTGATCTGCCCGCCTTGGCCTCCCAAAGTGTGGGATTACAGGTGTGAACCACCACGCCCAACTTGAAGAATTTTTGTTCGTTTGTTTGTTTTTTACAAAATCAAATATACTGTTACCATTCAATATAGCAATTGTGCTCCTTATTTACCCAAATAAGTTAAAAATTAATGTCTACCCAAAAACCTATACACAGATGTTTATAGCAGCTTTTTCACAATTGCCAAAACTTTAGAAGCAACCAAGATGTCCTTCAGTAGGTGAGTGGATAAAAATAAACTGTGGTATAACCAGACAACAGGATACTATTCAGTGCTAGAAAGAAAGGAGCTATCAAGCCATGAAAAGACATGGAGGAAACCTGAGTATGTATTACTAAGTGAAAGAAGCCAATCTGAAAAGGCTGCTGTATGATTCCAACTATGTGACATTCTGGAAAAGGCAAAACTGTGGAGACAGTAAAAAGATTACTGGATGCCAGGAGTTAAGGAGTGAAAGAAATAAATAGGCAGAGCACAGATAATTTTTAAGCAATGAAAAGACTCTGTATGATACTATAATGGTAAATAGGTATCATGATAATGTTGCCCAAACACACAAAATGTATAGCACTAACAGTGAACCTTAATGTAAACTAGTAGTGCCTGGGTGATGTATCAGTGCAGGCTCATCAACTGTAACAAATGCAGCACTCTGGTAGGGACCTGATAATGGGGAGCTTATACATAGGTGAGGGCAGAGGGTATATGGTTTATCTCAGTATCTTCCTCAATTTTGCTGTGAACCTAAAACTACTCTAAGAAATAAAGTTTATTAATTTAAAAAAAAAAAGTAGGAAGTTTCCATTTCCAGAGTGGCTTGGTGTGTACCTACTGAACTGACATTACTGACACCGTAATCTACTTATGTAGTAGATATTTAATACTGAATTGAACTGTATGGAATAAATGAACCTACTTTCAAATTAACAGGCCTCATACTATTCAACAGATTCAAAACTTAAAAGTGATGGTAAAGGGTCATGGAATATCCTGTGGATGTAAATTTCAGGATGTATAAGATTTGAGGATACAATCTAATGTCAAGTGGGATATGAGTGGAACAATCAGTGCTGCCTGTCTCAACAGCTGGGTAAGTACAGCCTACAGTCACAAATTGGGCTTTTATGTCCATTCTTGCCCCCTAGATCTTCTGCAGTGATTTGCTAAGAGATAATACAGATGCTAACATTTGTAAAGTACTAAGCATGTTACACACATTAACTCAAAGCTGGAGTCTACAGATCCAGGCAGGCTGAAAAGGTCAGGTGGTGTTCTCAATCAAAGCCATTTGAGTAGGGAAGATTTAGTTCTAAATGCTAACTGTGGGGAATCTAAATAGAGAGAGAATCATCTCAGAGAAGAGCAGCCAGTAGTAACTAGTGCTCAGTACTCACATTACAATTGTGCAACTATATACAAGGTCTAGACATGTTAAATTTATTTCTATATGATAAAAAGGTCAGGTCAGATAGATGTACGCTGAGTTTCTCTAAAAATCTAGGATGTGCTATTTGAGCTAATCCGGCTAATCTCAGTCAATTTTTTTGGGGGGAAAGCACCTAAGCACAATGAGAGCTTTGCTTTAAAGGTCAAGTATGTCTCCAATTCCCTGGGATCCCTGTTCTCTTGGTGGTATCTTCTAAAGTGACAGCTACTGATTGAGAAATTTACTGATTCTTGGAAAAGGGCCATCATCACACTAAAAGGCTGGCTTCTAGGCTAAGAGAATCTGAGCCAAAGAAGGTGAGATCCTTCTCCCAAGGACAAAGTTGAGTTTCAGAATCACCAGACTCTCAGGGCCCTCAAATACTCCACATGTACCCTCACTTTCTCCCTCCAAAGACAGTAAACTGTGAGCAAGGAAACAAATCCATGGAGAATAAACTCATCTTACTCAGCTTGATGCTGACTCGTTTCACTGCTTTGATATCCTGCTTTAATGCCCAAAGACAGACAAGGTCCAGGCTTAGGACAACAGTGACCATGACTTTCTATGCCCAGGCAGCAAGCTCTGAACAGTTCTAAGCCTGTCAATTTCCACTAACTGTAGGTTTAGAACTTCCATTATAAATAGTGTAGCAATGAACTGCACAGAAGTGCAGCAGCCCTTTCAGCAAAGCTGAGTCCCTTGGTCTGGTTTCCCTGGGATGCCAGAATATACCTTCTACACAGAAGCACATGGCTGACTCCAATGAGGTCTTTCTTCTGCCCCTCTCCTGGGAAGGACAGAATGCCAGAATCAATGCAAGCCTCCTGTTTTTTTTTTTTTCTTTTTGAGATGGGGTCTCATTCTGTTGCTGCCCAGGCTGGAATGCAGTGGTATGATTTCAACCTCCATGGGCTCAGGTGATCAGGCAATCCTCCCACCTCAGCCTCCCAAGTAGCTGGAACTACACGCATACACCACCATGCCTGGCTAAGTTGTGTATTTTTTGTAGAGATGGGGTTTTGCCATGCTGCCCAGGCTGGTCTCAAACTCCTAAGCTCAAGCAATTGGCCCATCTCAGCCTCCCAAAATGCTGGGATTACAGGTGGGAACCACTGTGCCCGGCTGCCTCATAATTTTTATATATTCTTCAGAGTCACGTAAGTCAGTCCTTACACTGTTGGGAAGAGCCCATATTCCAGGGATAGAGCAGCCTGAATCCATGAGGTCATTTGCTTTAATTCCAATATGTAATATCAGTATTGTTAGGAAACAAATACTCCAACCCGCGTGCGGTGGCTCACACCTATACTCCCAGTACTTTGGAGGTCAAGGTAGGAGGATCACTCGAGCCTAGGATTTCAAGATCAGCCTGGACAACATAGAGAGACCTCATTTCTATTTAAAAACAAACAAACAAACACATATTCCTCTTGCTTTTGTTATCTCCTAATCTAAGAGCAGGAAGGTTAATAGGAGTCCCATTAGACAAAAAACCCTCTCTGTGAGCCCTAATCCTCGGGCACAGTAGTACAAAATATTCATGGACTCCTCATCAAATGGCCCAAGACGAATGGAGCCATAACACACCAGAACACACCAAAACAGAGGCCATAAACCCAGGACACATACCTAGCCCCAAGATATGTACAAGACTGAAAGGAATGTTGAGAGAATAAGGTAAGAAACAATTAAGAGTCAAAAGTAGGCTAACTCATTCTCACACAGAAAGCAAGCCCATGAGCTCTGTATGCTTCAGTCAACCAAGTAAAGTGACAATGTAATGTACTGAACTGCACAACATGAGAAGTAGGAAAGAAACTCGGCATCTGTGGCCACTCTTTCATTCAACCTTTCTCAACCTTCATGCACTCACCTGTGTGGCCATGGAGTGGTGAGTGTGGCCGTGGTAGTGTAGGTGATGTGCTAGAGGTCACAATCAAGCTCTTGCGGTTACTTGTCCGACAACTGCAATGAAAACAAAATGTGAGTTATAATAGGGCCACACCATGGGCTCAGAGACCTTGAGTGGCTTTTAAGGAACAAAAGAGTGACACCATTTCACGGGCTGCACAGTATAGTTCTTTAAACTGAACTGGGTCAGCAATTACACTCGGCACCAGTTAGATTCCACAAAGCACTGTGTTCCACCTTGGAATAACTTTTGTCACTGCCTTGACTTTCATCTTGCATTGCCACTGTGCTTCTCCAATGTTTAGTTTGGCTTCCCAAGCAAACATGAGGAGCTCCCTACGGGCAACAACTATGTTTTAAACAGTATCTAATGAAGGATGACCACTGCAAATTGATTTACAAAATAAAAAGCACAAGTCAAAGTATTCTCAGATTCTCTAAGAACCCCCCCCAAAACTATTAACTTAATCTATGAAATTATTTTGAGAACTGCTTAGTCCATGAATTAAGTAATATTCTCATTTCAGAATATATGTCAGAACAGGCCTGGGTTTCTTCTATAATACTGGCTTTCCACAACATGTTAATGCCTAAAGCTTTTTCTTCTGGTTGGAGAAAACCAGATGGTAATGAAAAGCCATTTCACGCACATCTATTACTGAAAAGTCTGTATCAATTTATTTGAAAATCAGCCTATCTTTTGAAGGCATTAGGGAAGTTTTCCATTTATATTCATCCAAATATTTATTGAACACCTACTGTACACTAGGCAGTGTTTTAGGAGGGAAGCACTAGGGAACAAAAGAACAGTCTCTATCCTCATAACTGGAGTGAACAGTGCTGTGGGAAAAGGAAGAGAAAGAAAGAACAAAAGAGGGAGAAACAGGGAGGGGAGAGAGGGAGAGAGAGGAAGAGAAAGAGGGAGAGAGAGGAAGAGAAAGAGAGAGAGAGAGGAAAGCAAGGAGGGAGGGAGAGAGAGAAAAGGAGAAAGGAAATCAGAGACTGGTGTGGGAGTGCTAACTAGGGAAGTGAAATCTGATGAGAGAACTGAATGATATGAAGGACTCAGACAAAAGTAGAGCTGAGAGGCAGAGAGAAAAGTAAAGGTAAAGGCACTGAGACAAGAACAAATTTGGGATGCTCAAGAACTAGCAAAGAAGTCAAGAGCAGATGACAGGAGGGGAGAATGACAGAAAAAGAAGTAGGTTATAGAAGCTATAGGGAAGGCCACAGTCAGACTCTGTAGGGCTAACAGAAGGAATGAGATTAATCTCAAGAAAGAGATTGTCATTAGAAATAACCATTTTCCCCTAAGAAGCCATCAGGAGGAATCCAATCATGCCCATACCCCTAACTACCTCAGTCACCATGGAATGCCAAGCCTCCCACTCTCTTGACAGTTTCCCACTACTCTGAACCTTTGAGAAAAGCTTATACTTTGCCTCCTCGAACTCAGTATGTCATCAGCAAACTGCCTATATCCCCAATTTCTCCTGAGTGTCTGCTTTAAATTCTAGCTCCAAGTGAAACGTTGCTACCTCTCAAGGACACCAAAGTCCCGGTGAAATTCCAACCCTTTACAACCAAGCTTTCCATCTATTTTGCAACTGCACCTGGGAACTCAGAGTGACCGAAGAAAAACCCAGAATCATGCTGGCTGATGTATCTTTATATTTACAGTGACGAACATCAAGTGGGGCCTCATTACTGCCTGACAATCTTAGCACATTTACCAGACTAATGTGCTTGCTCACTCTCCAAGACAACTAATCACATTTTCTCCTTAAACCTCCAATACACCCTTTCCTTCCTCAAATCTGTACAGAAAATAAAAATTAAAAAAATTAGCTGGGCATGTTGGCACATGCCTATAGTCCTAGCTACTTGGGTGACTGAGGCAGGAGGACTGCTTGACTCCAAGGGGTCAAGGCTGTAGTGAGCCAATGACTGTGCCAGAAAAAGAAGAAAGAACAAGTACAGTTGGGCCAATTAGAAAACAAATAACAGATTTAAACCCAATAATACCAATAATCATATTAAATATAAATGTTCTAAGTACATAGGCAATTAAGGCAGAGATTGTCAGACTGGATGAAACAGCAGGACCCAATTATATGCTTTTAATTATCTGTGAAAACCCGAAACTACAAACCACCTAAAATATGCACCAACAGATGAGCCACAAACAAATCACAGTATATCCATATAATGGAATTCTACTCAGCAATAACAAGGAATGAACAATTGATTCACACAATGAGTGAATCTCACAAATAATTATACTGAAAGCAAGATGCCAAACAAAAAAAGAGTATGTTGTATGATTTCATGGATGAGTTGAACAATTTACCTCTCACATGTACTCAATCAAAAAATTTGTCCCTGAATAGTTACACTAAAATATACTAAAAACATAAGTCAAACATAATGTTACTTAACAGGAAATTGTTCTGACATATGCACTAAAAGGAATTGAAAACATTATTTCCAAGTCAATCACACCACATAAATTTGACCAAATACGAGTCCAACACATTGTGACAAATTCCTCTCATGGGCTTGCACTTTGCTTTGCATTTATTTCAACAGCACTAGATGTTTTGGGTATGTATGCCAAGAGGTGATATGAACTGTACTCAACTAGGCATTGCAAAATAGGTGGCAAGGTTTGGGCAAAACAGTCACCAACAATTTCCAAGTAACTAATAACTGGCTGATGGATGTATCCACCATACCAAAAGCCCATTATTTCTCTCTCCAGAGCATGGATATAGTGACACTTGATTTCGTGGCTAAAACAGGACTCACTGATTTGCAAGTAATGACCTAAACCACTAAGATGTATCGGATGTAGTTCAAAGTAATGCCTGCATACTTCATGACAGAAATTGTGGACACTGACCATAGTATGGACTGAAATTCCAGTAATAGCAGTAGTTGCTCTCACTGTGACTTCCATAGACCATAACAAGGGAAGATGAAGCCACTTATTCAGGGAAATGCTGATTTTGTGAAAAAATATTCCTTTCAAAGAGAGACTCATGATGATTGGCAACTGCAGTGAACAAATTTCCATGAATAGCTGTCTTTGTACTGGCATTGTATCACCCACAGTAAGGGCTGGTGATACGAGGAACATTTAGGAGGCATAGATAACAAATTACACTCCTTCAAGAAATCAATGACTGGCAGGTTTGAGGTGTTGACAATAGGTTGCAATGTATCTTGAAATAAACATCTATCCATTGGGAGAGGTGAAATAAAAATTTTCTCAAAAGTAGAACCACTAAAAAAATAAAATTTGAATTTGACCCACCACAATTAAGAAATTTCACAGGCGGATGGCCGGGCGCAGTGGCTCACGCCTGTAATCCCAGCACTTTGGGAGGCCGAGGAGGGCAGACCACGAGGTCAGGAGATCGAGACCATCCTGGCTAACACAGTGAAACCCTGACTACTAAAAATACCAAAAAAAAAAAAAAAAAAAAAAAAATTAGCCAGGCATGGTGGCGGGTGCCTGTAGTCCCAGCTACTTGGGAGGCTGAGACAGGAGAATGGCGTGAACCCAGGAGGCAGAGCTTGCAATAAGCCGAGATCACACCACTGCACTCCAGCCTGGGAGACAGAGCCAGACTCTGTCTAAAAAAAAAAAAAAAAAATTCACTGGTGGGACTCACAAGGACAAATTGTTTAGTTGATCCAATTCCATTTATATAACATTTTAGAAAATGCTAACTAATCTATAGTGACAGACTGCAGATTAGTAGTCGCCCAATGAGAAGCAAAGAATGGATTATAGATAGTCACGAGGAAACTTCTGAGAGTTACAGATCTGTTCATTATCTTCATGTTCATTATCACAGTCACACACAATCTATTATATTCCAACCATACCTCAACAAAACTATACAAAAATTTTAAAATTTAAGCAACATCATGTCCCTCTTCCATTTAAAATTCTCCTTGTCACACTGAGAGAAAAAGTCAGTTCAGATGATGGCCTACAAGGCATTATACGGTCTGGATTCTCCATGACCTCTCTCCCTCCTGCTCACTCTCCAGCCACACCGGCCTCCTCACCTTCCTTAGAAACTGCCAAGCATGCCACCCATCTCAGGGCCTTTACAATTGGGATTTCCTTTGCCTATGTTTCTCCCAGATTGCCTCAAGGCTTGCTCCCCTCCTCCTTCAGGTCTTTGCTCAAGTACAATCTTCTGGGTGAATTTTCCCCCATCACTCTATTTAAAATTGCAACCCCTCCCAAACTCCCTATCCCTCTTTCTTGATATATTTTTCTCCTAGCACTTATCATCATCTAACACACTACAGTCAGCACTCTCTATCTGTGGGTTCCACATCCATGGATTCAACCAACTATGGGTGGAAGATATTTTTTAAATAAGTAAATAAAAAAAAGTATTTTTTAAAACTTTTAAAATAATATAAATTTTAAAAATACAGTATAACAGCTATTTGCATAGATTTGCTTTGTATTAGATAATCTAGAGATGATTTAAAGTATAAAGGAAGATATGTGTAGCTTATATGGGAATATTATGTATGCTCTTTTATATAAGAGACTTGGGCATCTGCAGATTTTGGTATCCATGTGGGTCCTGGAACTAATCCCCAATATACATATGATTGTATATATTTTGCACATTCGTTGCGTTGTCTCTCTTCTCATCAGAAATTAAACTGTACGAGGGCAGGGGCTTTTGTATGCTTTTTGTACTGCTGCACTCCTCAATACCTAGAACGCTGCCTGGCACACAGTACGCTCTCAATAAATATTTTTTAAATGAATGGATGAGTATGATTTGTTACCAGGATTAAAATAAAGAAAATACACGTATACCTGGTCTATGAAAGGTAAATCAAACTGTTATATCTAAATCCTTGTGTCTGAAAGTGAAAATTTCTTGAAATTTCAGGGACAGATAATTAATTCCAGCTTCATTTGCCTTAACCTTATTTAAAATTTAAAATAAAAGCCGAAACACTAAAGATCATATTTCCAGGCCACATGCCTTTTTATAAAGGTACACATAATC